AAATAATAATAATAGCCAATGCTCGGCAAGAGGTTTTCATTTATAAAATTTTATTGTTGTTCTCGACTTGATTTTTATTTTAGTACCTCGTCTCCATAGTTACTATTTGCAATTAGTTAATAATATTGTAGGTCCATTATATTGTTGTTCTTTCTACGCTAATTTATAACACATTTTCATCTCATCATTTAATTTCTGTTGTGCATATATTGTTGTATAGAAGATATTTTACAATGATTCATCAGGTGAAAAACGAATTAATAGACAGATAAACCGATATATGGTGCCATCTAGTGTACCTAAATTCATCTAGAAATTTTCATAAAAGTGACGTGAAAAACGGGGCAAACTCGGTAACCCGTGGCCCAATTTTAACGAAACTTGTTTTATTCTGTTTCTATTCTCATCTCATTACAAATATGGCAGTATTGTGCACCATTTTTGCTGTATTTAATTACAGACAAGCAAACACACAATCTCAGAGTTTTAGTAGTATATAGATATATAACAGCGAAATATGTTGTATGTCTGTCCACTAAATCCTTGCACACTACATGTCCAATCTCCACCAACCTTGGCATGGTGACTCCTACGGTTCCCAGAAGTAAGAGGGACAGGTTAAAATTCTGTCTGTTCATCTGTCACGCCAGTATCTTTGGGCATATAATAATTAGATTAGAGCTGAGGAAAGGTTGGTAGAGATCAAGATAAGTAATCAAATCGAATCAAGTATACACGTGCTCCATGCTTGTTATTGTTGGTGCATAAAAATCATAATAATTGGCTGTATTTCCCATTATGTTTGCTTGGTTGTCCAGAAGACACACTGACGCAACATCACCAAATTTTGCCCATCGGAAACCTCGGCTACAACTCGTAGCCCATTTCAATTTTGAAAATGCCCAAGTTTAAGCATACTTCTTCAGCTTAGCAGGCTAACAAAGCTAAAACTAGGAAGACAGTCCAAAGAGAAAACCCTGAAGTTATAATTTTCCTATACTGAAAATATATTTCTGATAGGTACTTACCTCCTATCACATAAATAGCAATTCTCAGTCAGTGCTGCCGTCTAGAAGCAAAATCTTTTTTTTCACATACCACAAGCCTTGAGCTCCAACATACCTTACAATCAACTGGTTCAAATGTGTCTTGCATGTAAATCATCATGCAACAACACTCCATCAATAAGAGTGTGACACACACTCCTGATGCACGTGACTCCCTCTATTTGATTCTACAGAACTATCGCTTTGAGTTTTGGAAGAAAATGGAAGCACCGGTTTTCATTACAGGAAAATTATAACTTCCGACATGGTATATTACCTCTTCTCATATAAATAGCTAGAATCTCACATTGAATAGGTGGAGGGAAAAAATCAAAGCAGCATTCCTTGAAAGCACCTGAAGAACACCATAAAACACCATCAAAGTAGAAGATCATATGTGGGAGACCGCATCACATCTGTACCAGGTATACTCTTTGCCCAGTGTGGAATGAGTTGTTGCAGATATGGGCTAAAAAAAAAGGAGGGAGCACATCCCTATGGGAGAGAACTATGGTGGGATAGGGATCCAAACCACCATATAACAAATCTTAATCCCACAGAGTACTGGAATGTGGATGAAGGTAAAAGGATGTAGCTAGGGCGTGATGGATCATACATGGTAAGTCATCTGCACCCAAAACCCAGATCCCCGGGAACTGACTTCCATGTGGGTAGGATGATGATCATACCACTGTTAAGTCAACTACAATCTAAAAATTAGCATTCAATATTTCTATGTCAGTATATGTATTGTATACACTAACAGAGAATACATCCTAAAAATAAGTACAATGCTCTTTCACTTATTAATATTGTTATTAGTATTACTACAACAAATGGTTTATTTCTCACTCTCAAGAGTTCCAACATCTGATATTGTCTTAGGCCCTTTGCTATTTCCCTGTTCAGCAGTATATAACGTCAAGTTCAAATTGAAAGCACTTGCTGGGTGGTAATACTAATAGTAATACTGAGTAACCTAAACATGCTGAAAGTGAAATTTAAAAAAATAAAGAATTGTAGTTTGTTGAATTCGGCTAACAGTAACATCAGCAGATGGCTTTTAGAAATTAATAAAACAGTAGTAACTTAGTATTAACAGAAAAAATAATACTAATAGTAATACTGAATTGTTACTGTTACTACCAGTGTTAGGGCTAAGGTCGACTCACCTTTTGCTAACACTGTGCTGTCCCGTTTCTGGTTTATGATTATCTTCGGAACTCTTACGCGACGTTTCTGGAGCAACTGTTGCTGATAATGGATCGATATTTTGAGAAGCCATAATTATGTTTTTGTACAGGTAAATAAATAAAAAATATTGGGGAGTAGATACACACAATCCTTCAAACAGTGGGGAAAAATTGTAATAACCACAAGTTAACGCAATTCCGTAGATATTACTAACAGACTAAAACACTCATAACGGTTACATTACACATTTCAGCAACTCGTTACCCATATGCTGTTGAAATGACCAATAAAATAAGAAGAATCATTTAGCGCGACACCTAAACTTTAAAAAAAAAAAACATTATATTATTCCATTACCAGCCGTTCATAGTATGATTTCAATTTAGTTAACCTGTATTAACAAAGATTAAACAGTACAAAATATTTATTAGTAATTTCTTAAATGTTTAGCGCTTAATGAACAAAATCAAAACTTTAGCCATTGTCCATTTTCAGTAAATAACACTAGATTGACGTACACATGGTATAGTATAAGTACAGACTATGCTAAACAAATCATTCTCATTTATAAACAATAACCCATTCTTTTGGCTCGAAGTTAAAATTTTGTTAGTCAGTTAAAACAACCACAATATTTTTTATTATGAAAATTCTAGGACACCCCAACACAAAAAAGACACAATATACTAAACTGTACATTCGCCAAGGGCCCCCAGTGGCACAGCGGCACAGAGTTAAAGTAATTTATTTCTAAAAAAACAAACATTATATATATATATAAAGGATTGTTGTTTTGAAGTTAAGCACAAAGCTACACAATGGGCTATCTGTGCTCTGCCCACCACGGGTATCGAAACCCGGTTTCTAGCGTTGTAAGTCCGCAGACATACCGCTGTGCCACTGGGGGGCATATATAAAGGAACCCGGTATAAAGAGGGGCCTGGTCAGCTTTAGCTGACCGTTAGTTTCGCCTCTGCATGTATTATATTGTTACGTCTCCGTTTGTTAATTAACTTTCCGTAACTTCGTTCCGACGAAACTTTAGTGACACAAGTCCTTATTTAATAAAACTGGTTTATTCTTTCCGAATATAACTTTACGGTACACTTAATTTCAACAATCGGGCTAAAACAAACGCTATAACTACGAACGTGCTCAATAATACTCTCTGACTGCAGATAAATTACTCACTGTCTACACACACACACATTACATTCCCGTCACGTTGTCACCCTCTTTTATATACCAGACTACCCTATTTCTAGTAAATGCTAGAGCATTCGCCAAAGTACAGGATAGTTCTAGAAAGTATAGGGCGTGAGAATAGTCACGTGATCTCGATGACGCAACAATATGTACATATTTTAAAAAATCACTTTAACTGGATTTCTGAAAAATTGTACATAAAAACTGCGTATGACCGTTATATGTGAAAAAGTAAATATTGCTATATCAAGTATGTATTCTTGATAGGTGCCCTTTCCATAAATCGATTGAATATAGTTCTCTTGTGAAGACATACCTTAAACCCTTTTAAAAATGTCCATAAGTTTGGTTTTCAGATGAATATTTGCATTTTTAAGTCAAGTAAAGAGCACCTACTCTGGACATGCGATGGTTCATAATCACACTAAGATTCACAAAGTATTGACTCTCGATTATAAAGTTTTATTGCAATATAATAGTCACTGTATGTAACAAAATATACAAAAAATATATCACTTTAACTTCTGATGCAAACAAGAGTTATTGAATGGTGTACAAATGAAACAAAAGTATGTGAACTGAAAGTGAATTCAACGACCAGATCATTGTATACTTCTATCACAACGGCATTAATATTCACAAAAGTATTCACTTCAGAAACTAAAATTATAATGCAACAAAACAGTCAATATAGGTAAGAAATATAAATAATAATTAGTCAGAAGTTATTAGATACAAACAAATGTACTCGACAAGAGTATATCACAAATGGTAAAAATGAAACCAAGTTTGTAAATTAAAACAGTTTATGAACTAGATTAACATAAATCACAATACTGTAAATATTACATGCACATGAGCAATGTCCTACGTATAAGTTCTATATACAAGATTTCATATGTACAAACTTGACAGGGAACTTTGTCATCCTCACTTCTCCATCTGAGACCAAGCCATCTGACTCAATGTCACCAGCGTCATCTTCGTCAGAGTAGTTGTCATCTTCACTCGATTAAACTTCTTTGGCCAACTCTGATGGGTACATGTGTCCATCAAACCACAGAGGTTCAAGTTTTCTATTGATGACTGTCCATCTATGTGCTTCTGATGGTGGTGGTACATCTGGTTGAGAGACATTGGTGCACTTCCAGATTCTAACCTGATAATTCATTTGTCTGATATGCTGATGTAACACTATCTGACATGGAGGTAGCTGACTAAGGTCGATATTGCGATTCAGATTGACACCCCCATCTTCACCACCACATATCTCCTTGGGAGTGGCGAAACGAAGGTCATTATCAACATTTTTGAAATTGGATTTTCCGTATATTGCAAATGTCAGTTCTTCTAAACCTGCCTCTTTGAGACCAGGAACAGTCCAAGAATTCCCAGCTTCGCCTAGAACACTGCAGGCATCTTCTACAGCAGTCTGATTGGCCGCACTTTACCAATACCCTTGAAGGCACTAATTATATCACAATGTGTGAAAGCATGCAGAACCATCAGTGTTGTGCAAAATTCTTGGCCATATTCATGAGCTATTTCTGATACAGTAAAGAGTATCTCATTGTTTCATGTGTCTGTATCAAACAAAATAGTGATCTAGAGTTGCATTGCATGATGTAGAGCTATGACGAATATATCTATATCTGGACTTCTGATGTGAACCACTTCATATCCATGATCCTGATCATAGACACATTACGAAATTACTCGTGTGTTCGTCTCCTCTTGGGTTGAGTACAATATTTGCAACTCCGTTCTCATTGTTGTTCTCTCATTACTTGATTTCAGCAAGTAGCAATGGCCCTAAAAAACTGATATCAGTCTTCTGTTTCTGAGCTTCGGTGCAAAATCGTTCCCATTCCATATTTCATGGAGAATGTCAATTAGCTGTGTTTTATTTTCACTGTTGAGAAAGAAGTTTCTCCAGTTTGCACGTTTTTTTTTTGCCATTTGGCCCCAGGTAATCAATTTGTCACTGGAACCACGCCTGTCTCGTTCTATTTATTTGATTAATCCTTCTTTATACATATCAGTACAGAATACCAGATCCACCTTCTTAGGCAGGCTATCGAATATTCTATGATATATCTCTTTGAAGTTTTCAGGGATTTCTACCAAGGAGTGGAACACAGCATTACCATCTACAAATAACAGTGTTGTCCACTCAGTAGGGAGATTGACATAATCAACTTCCTTCGTTAGATAGTGAAATCCTATAGATTTATCGGGTTTTGCCATATAACCATCAGTAGTACCAATTCTGTGAGGCACAGGATTTAAAGAGTACTTCATCAGTTCTTCAACATCAATGGTTTTGTTTGGTTGGGACTTGACCAGCAGCTGAATCGCTACACAAAATGCAAATATTCATCAGAAAACCAAAGTTTTGGGTATTTTAGAAAGGGTTTAAGGTATGTTTCACAAGAGAACCATATTGAAAGGATTTATGGGAAGAAAACTTCTTTAGAATACATACTTGGTATAGCAATATTTACTTTTTCACATATAACCGTCATACGCAACTTTTATGTACAATTTTTCAGAAATTCAGTTAAAGTGATTTTTTAAAATTATGTACATATGATATATCACTTGAAAGGAAATTTATTCCACCTTTATCTGGGATAATGCTTTCAATGAAAGATTTTATAAAAACAGGCATATAAGGTCAGGAACTAACATGACCCCTTGTTTTTAGAGTGCCAGAAACTAGATTAAGAGCGGAAAGACCCCACTTATGAATAAACAGGTCAAACAGCTAGTTCATCCCAGTTTATATGTTGGTAACATCACTTTTATTGATCGTTATACTCCACGGAACAAAAATATACCCACCCCTTTCATACTGTTATGGGGGAGGGGGTGGGTGCAAGGCGACCATATTTGGCCCATGGACTACTTCCATTTTCTAAGTTATAGTCTGGAGTAACCCAGTTGGTCATTTTTTTTCTCCAACATACTTACAAAGAAGGTCATGGAATATGATATTTGGCTTGGACTGTTTATCCTCTGAACACCTACTTAACTTTAAAGTTTGTCCTGAACGAAAACTGTTCAGCCATGCCATGTCACTTAATGAAATTCAGTTTTATCAGCATTTACATCATAACTACCTTTTGTTTTATCACAACCTGAATTAAGTCTTCCAGTAGTAAATGCACGTATAATATCTTTATTCTTCACATCCACGAGAGCTATTTCAACCACCAGTTTCACAGGACATGCTGGAAAAAAATTTCTACTATGATCCAGTCACTAATGAAGAATAACTGCTAATAATTACCGATATGAGTATTTCACTTCTTTATGGTGTAGTAATTATTATATAGTGCACATAAATTTTCTGGTTGTAGACTGTGAAGCTATTTGAGCTAGTCTAACTTTGTATCTATGTCCCCATATGCAGTCAGTTCCCAATATGCACTCATCTGCGATGTCAATTATCCACATATCATGAGGTATAGAGAAACTTCCTACAGTAAGAATAACTTCTAATTTTCCTCATGCAACTGGAGCTTTATGTCCACCCGCTACTTGCACCATCCACCCTTTTTTCAGCTGTAGAGGTAATTTACCATCTTTCATTACTTAACCGATTGAACAGTTGTAACTGTAGAACCCGTGTCAGTCAACATATTGCAAGGTTTTCCATCAATAAAACCATAGGTGTACGTTTTTTCTGTAAAAAATGATCTTCTTATTTCACTTAGTGTAAATGGAGTTTTCCAATTGAGCTTTACCTTATAAATCCAGCTAATTCTTAATATCTGGTTAGTTTTTTTTTGTTAATTTGATCTAGTTGAACTCTGTCTCCTTTGGCTTAATAACAGTTGTTGATTCCTCACAGTCTCGGATACAATGGCTATGTTCCCACATAACAGTTCCATATTTCTGGTATTCTTTAGACGATATCCTTGTCATGCGATTTTTTCTCCCATTTTGGGCAACTAGTTGTCTAACTAATCCTTCCAGTTTTTTTAGACTATCGTCAGAGGGAATTGATGTTTCATATTACTCGATCTAATGATTCCATAACTTCTAGAAAGTACTCAAATTCGATGACG